TTCACTTTCAGCAAGCAAGATTGTATCATCTGCATATTGTAGGTTGTTAATGAGTCTTCCTCCAATCCTGATGCCACGTTTGTCTTCAGATAACCCAGTTTCTTGGATTATTTGCTCAACATACAGGTTGAATAAGTATGGTGAAAGGATACAACCTTGTTGCACACATTTCTTATTTTTAAAACATTCAGTGTTCCCATGTTCTGTTTGAACAACTGTCTCTTGGTCCAAGTACAGATTCCTCAGGAGAACAATTAAGTGTTCCAGAATACTCATACTTCACAATGTTGTCCATAGCTTGTCAAGATCCACACAATCGAAAGCTTTTGCGTAGTCAATAAAGCACAGGAAAACATCTTTCTGATATTCTCTGCTTTCAGCCAAGATCCATCAGACATCAGCAATGATATCCCTTGTTCCACGACCTCTTCTGAATCTGACTTGAACCTCTGGAAGTTCTCTGTCAATGTATGATTGTAGCCATTTCTGTATTACCTTTAGCAAAACTTTATTCACATGGGATACCAAAGAGATTGTCTTACTGTGGTGGCTTGTGAGTTTCTGTGATTCTGAAAGCTATGCCACTGGTATTTTAATTACCAGCAGGGTCACCCATGGTGGACAGGTTTCAGATGAGCTTCCAGACAAAGACAGACTAGGAAGAAAGAGTGACAAACTACTTCCAAATATTTAGTCAACTGACAACCTTATGAATAGCAGAGAAACACTGTCAGATATAGTGCCAGAAAATGAGCCCCTCAAGTTGGAAGGCACTCAAAATGAGACTGGGGAAGAGCTGCCTCCTCAAAGTAGAGTTGACTGTGATAACACAAATGAGTAAAGCTCGTGGGACCTTCATTTGCTGATAGGGCACAACTCAAAATGAAGAGAAACAGCTATAAACATCCATTGAAAATCGGAACATGGAATGTACGAAGTATGAATCTGGGAAAACTGGAAGTTGTCAAAAATGAAACGGAACTCATAAACATCGGTATCTTAGGCATTAGTGAGCTGAAATGGACTGGTACTGGCCATTTTGAATCTGACAACCACATGGTTTATTATGCCGGGAATAACAAAGTGAAGAGGAATGGTGTTGCGTTCATCCTCAAAAAGAACATATCCAGATCAGTCATGAG